TGTCTTTCTGTCGGCTGCAGAACAAAAGCTTCCTTGTTTGGTCTCACCTGACTTTGGCCGTCAGTGTGACACTGCTGTACTCTGCAGTACACACACTATTCAGTGTTACCCCGAGTACTATATCTGCATTACTCCCTCTCTCAATATCTCTTCTTAAATGAACATGGACCTCAGTTAATGATGACCACCGATTTCTAAAAAGACACTTATTCCATTCTAAAACAACCTTATCTGTCAAGTAGCATGCAGTAGGAAGTGTGTGTAGCTTGTAAGGTGTAAGAGGGATTCCCAGCTGTAGCGCTATGTCAGAAAGTTGTTGTTTTGCTGTGAGCGTGCTGCTTCCAGGAACAGATACAGTAGAGGATGATATACAAACCTGGATGTCTGGAACAACTATTATAGTCTGGCATTTTTATCACATATAAAGCGACATTGTCAAGGACAACCCATGTTGCATCAGGGTTAGTTAATTTTTGTCATTTGTGTTCCAGTGAAATGTTAGTTCCTCCTCCTTATCTGAGGCCAGAGGTGTAACTGTGGAATTGTTTCCCAGACATGAAGATGTATCATGACCGGATCATCTTGTTTGCTGGATGACAAAACATGGTGGAATTTGTATTGTCAGCCATTTAGTACAAATCACAAATACTTTACAACAGCATACCAATTAGGTTTCAACAACTGAACCATCACACCTGAGCCACTCCATCTGCTGAGGAAGGCTACGAGCTGTGTGTGAAAGCTTTGGAAACGCCAAATAAGTGAACATTGTGTTCATAGTATTTTTTTTTTTTGGTCATGCTGCTGTTTTTTAACCTTGCATGGCAGCTGGATTCATGAGATAACAGTGGCCAGGCTTCAAGACACCAATTAACGCTACTTGCAGCCACCGGCGTGGTTTAAAGTCAGGTGTGTGTGAGCAGTGACTGTTTGCTCAAACAATAATGGCGGCTGCTAAAGACGTTAGCGTAGAGTATTCCTTCATTGACAGAAGAGCAAAGAACGACGCTGAAGGCTTTTCTTGATGGAAAAGATGTTTTCACTCTTCTCTACTGGCTTCAGTACAAGTTTGACCACGTTATATGGTTCATTGATCTGACTGGTTGAAGTTCGCTCTTGATAGACGGTAATAGACTGATGGGTCATCCAATCCCCTGCCCAGTATTTTTTAAAGTGCCTGCCCTTTTCCAACAGTTTCCAACAAGGACTTCCCAGATAGAGGTGGGCGATATATATCGTTTGCGATAATATCGTCATTGTTGTTTTGACAATGTTTTTTCCATTATCGAGTATTTAAATTACTTATGATCACATGACCTCTCGCTAGCATCCTCCTTGCAACAGTTTAGCAGCGCATTGTGATGGTAGAGAGAAAATGCAAACACCTCCAGTCCCTGAAGCTACCGGTACTTCAGATGATTTAGTGCCGAGACGTGGGTCTACCTCTCTGGCATGGAAATGGTTTGGTTTCGAAAAGACTTTTTTAGCTCAGCGCTCAGAGCGTGCGTGCGTGCGTGCGCGTGCGTGTGTGTGTGTGTGTGTGTGTGTGTGTGTGTGTGTGTGTGTGTGTGTGTACTGGAGTCCTTGATGAGTTTCTGTGGTCAGCCAGCTGTCAAGGCCACTCAGTGACTAACAGTGGTTCTGTTGAAAGCGCACACACAGGTGACCTATGACATGTTCCCTCTCTTAAGAACACATGACTGGATTTGCTCAGTGGCACTCCAGGACGTAACCACCAAAACGTTGACGACACAGAGATAGGGGGAGGTTCGGTACAGTCATTGGGCCGATTACTGTCAGTTAACTCTGCTGTGGACCAGCTAACAGAGCTGGTGGAGTGCGTACAAACACACTCTGATTAAATCCAAACCAAGTCCTGGTCATGTTGGGTAGTATTCCACACACTGTTGGAGATAAATGGAGGATATGTTCTGGCAGTCTACGTGCAAATGATTTGATAACAATAAGAAACAATCTTGCCAAAATGCTATATCACGCTCAAATAAAGGGCTTTCTCTAACTTTCATCTTATTGCTCGCTGGCAGTTTTTTTCTTTCACACTGTATCAGGCATTACAGGCATTCTTGAAAATGTACAGAGATAAGCAAGGTTGTGGAAACCATGTGACTGAGAGACTACTCATGTTTCTAATAGCAGTATCTGTTAATCAAGACTGTCTTAAGGTTACAGACAGTTGGACTTTAGAGAACATTCCCAAGATAAGGTTTTCTGAAACTAAAATATGTTGAATTGTTGCTTTGGAGAGGTGTCAGATACTGGGTGATGTTTAGTTGTTTGTGCTTTAGCTTTTGGCCAGCCCTGTAGATATTTCCCTGATTTGCCCTTTGGGCAGGTTGGCCTGTCTGCATTGTTGAACTCTCAGGCCATAGTAATGTAATCTTACAAGCACAAAGGAATTGCAGTCAGTTACAAAGGAAAAGGCAACAAAGGTGTGTGTGTGTGTGTGTGTGTGTGTGTGTGTGTGTGTGTGTGTGTGTGTGTGTGTGTGTGTGTGTGTGTGTGTGTGTGTGTGTGTGTGTGTATATATATATATATATATATTTATTTATTTATTTATGTATTTATAGTAAATTAAATAAAAATGTAAACACCTTTTTATATAAATGCCTTCCGAGTCTGTACAGGTTTCCCCAGCAGGCCTCCACCAGTGGTAAATGGATGGTCTGAACTGTCAAGCACCAGTTGGGGTCAAGTTTTGTAGATATATTTAGTAGCAGACCCGTCACAATAATTACCTTATTTATTAATTTATTGTATTATTTATATATATATATATATATATATATATATATATATATATATATATCTATATATATATATATATATATATATATATATATATATATATATATATCAGCATGTCCTTTAAGAATGTCCTTTAAGAATGTCACCAACAATTTAGCCAACAACACCCACCAAGCACCAAATTAGGGTAGAGTACATCTGAGAATTCTTTTCTCCACACTGGCAGGTAAGTGTTTGTTTTTGTTAACATGGGCAGTGGTGGTTAGAGAGGGTTGTGTTGGTTGTGTGGTTTTATTTATGTTTTGTTTTGATTTTTTTTTTTTTCACATTCCAATTCCACTGTCTGAAAATCCGTTTGAATTAAAAGTGAATTTTAAAGGGTGTACTTGTATTATTATGCTTATCATTATACCAGTGGCATAAAATGGTCTTAAAGTGACATATCGTTTATAATACCTCAACAATATTCCATCGTCCAACACAAGCAGTTATGACAGGCCTATTCAGCAGTGCCCCCTCCACCTCTCTGCAGTGTCAGATTCTTGTTCTGCCATGTGTTTATCTCTATCTCAAGAAGTTGGCACCTTAGTAGCACTGGGTGACCTTGGCTACTGTTTTGAACACAAGGTTGTATCTGTGCCACACTGCTGACACAGTCAGATAACAACTCCACTAATACTGGCTCATTAACCCACACTGCTCAACTAATGTTAACTAACACAAACACAGTCCGCTCTTTCTGCACATTGTTGGTGCTGATGTAGGAAGTGAAAGTGATTTTATTGTTGATCGTCACAGAAATAACAGAACATCACATGTTTTTTGCTTTTTGCCTGCAGCTCGGCAACAGACATTTGAGTACAAGTCAGAGACATTCAAAGGAACGGAGGGAGGGCATGAATAGGGAGAGAAAAGAAGGTGACCAAAAAAAAAGCAGCAGAACACCTCAGGAGATACTGTTGACCCTTAACTTTTCATTTCCTGTCTGAAACGCACACATAGATTCAACCACACAGCAGCCACAGCCCATAGCTCCCAGCTGTGTGAGTGCAGCTGATCTACCACACTCCTGACACATGACTACCGCTTCTTTCTCAGACACACAGGCTCACACCCGGATCCGGATCAAATGGTTTCAACTGTGCACTGATATCAGTCATTTTAGTGTAACAGTCAACATATAACGTCTGTTTGATAACATTTCCTGCTTCCTGGTATACTTTAAATGCAATCAGATATTTCTCCTTTTGCCTCAGTTGAATTAAAAATCAGTTTGTTATTCAGTTGTGCATGTCTTTACAGAACTGCTGTCAAATATAATATTAAAGCAAGGAAGGAAGGAATTTATGTTCAACATGGGTACAAGTGGCAGTTCTATCAGATGAGGCAAGTGTGACATGAGAGCAGCTGCTAAACAGACTTTGTTTTTCTTCAATAGGGACAATCATCTGGATCTCTCTTACCAAGAACCAAAACACAATGCTGTCGTTTCTGAACATATTTAACAAAAGCACATGTGTATGTATGCGGAGGAAAACGGATATCTGCAGATCATTTAAGACTAGTCGAAACATGGTTTAAATCTCCACTTACATTTAGGCTAGTTTAAACAATATTACAAATTCCCATTAAGTTGTATGGAACCTCAAATAAAGATTTAATAAAAATATATTTTATGTAGTTCTGACTGTAGTTTAATTAAAAGTTAAAGAGCTTAAGGTCTTTTGAATTTTTTAATATTTGAAATAAAGATATGACTCATGAAAATGAAAGCTTACATGCATGTGGCTGGAGCTGATGAAAAGACTGTCAATTATTACCACACACAAACAAAGAGAACTGCTGTCTGATTTATTAAAGTAACTGACAGGGTGAAAACCTCAGTAATGTGATTAACGGTCGATGATGTTGGAGCGTGTGAACTTTAATGTTCTTGTCAGCTGATTTAACGTGACTGTAAACGTCAAACACAGAGACCGACCTCTGTTTGAGTCTCAACAAAGCAAGTGGAGCAGGACGTCATGAAGTGTAAAGGCGCCAGACTAGAAAAGTGCTCAAGTTCCTCTATTTACCTGTAGAACACCATGAAGAACTTCATGTCTTGTACTTTAACCCTGAGCCAGGAAAGATTAAAACCCTGTACCAGAACAAGGGAAGAGAAACAGGGCTGTCTGATGTATTTTGAATTGATGATATATCTTACTAAAATGTGATTTCTATCTAATTTCTTTCAGAAAACTATCCCGTCAGCAGTTCTGATGGAAAGACGGAGTCAGTAGCGAACCTCCAGCCGCAGCCGTCCCTCAGCTCGCTGCAGTCCAGCTCTCCTGGTCCCAAACGCTCCGGAAACACTCTGAGAAAATGGCTGACCAGTCCAGTCCGCCGTCTCAGCCATGGCAGCTCGGTCAAGAAGCTCCCCAATAACAAACAGAAGAAGACAGGTAAGACGAGCAGAAATAAACAGTTCAACAACAAACAAAAGCACAGCACAAAATAACACATTACTGACAAGTTCCAGTCGTACTTGGACCACATGTTCAGCTCTGTCTACATAACTCTGTAGAAAACTGAGCAGCAGCACTGTAAGGAGACTTTACTGAGCTAAGAGGCCACTCTGATTGCATTCTGCCACATTTCAAAGCATACCCTGAATTCTAAAGAGAGATTTACCTTTTATGTAGCCTTTGGTTTCAGTTTGTTTTAGTGTGTTGTGAAAATCTGTCTGGTTATACTGTTGCAAGGGTTGCAATATTGATATTGTGTTAATAATACACATATGACAATATCGTGTAAATAATCATGCACCTCTTAAATAATTTCTGTTTCTTTGCATTTTCGCTTGGTGGTTCACACTCCAACACAGTACGTCGCGGTAATTCCTTTAGCAAAGAAGAAGAAAAAAAAAACACACAATGAAAGTTTAAAAAGAATTTGACTGAGCCCTAACAGCAGTATGTAGTACAAATTCTTTTGTCTTGTGTTAAAAAAACGTGGCTGACTATGAAATTTCAAATGTCAGTGTTCTTGAACGCACCAACAGGGAAAGTTTTCATATGCAAGTTCCTGCTTGCAACTGCACTATAACACGACTTTGACATAATGATTGTGACGAAATGTCCACTGTAAATTACTATTATAGATTACTTCTTTCAAGTCTGGCAGAGACGCAAAGTTGAGGTCATTTCTTTTTAATGAGCTATTATGTGAAAAACTACCAATACAATTCTTCTAATGCCAATGTCGTTCTATCAAGATGAGAAAAGCTATATGTATATGTACAGAAATGAACCTTGTTAAAATGTTTTAACATCTGTCAGCATTGAACTGACTGACTGCTCGACTGATTGATTGACAGGACCGGGAACAGGAAGAGAGGAAAGCAGGAAGAGTATTGACCTGGGACACACTGACCTTGCCCTGCATGATGACATCATCGATGAGGTAAGCAGTGAGCTTTTTACCGCTGTGGTTTGGTTTTCGATAAATGGTATTTCACAAAACTGTTGACATTTCATAGCTTAAGGTCATTCCGCCTTTCAAGAGACTATTTCAGTGTTTTTCGCTGAGCTGAGTCGAAGCTATTCTTAGCTCTGAACATTTCTTGCAGGAAAATATTTCTGGCAATACACTTAGCCGTCTTTCTCAGAGCAAGTTGGCAAAAAACAACTGCTAAAGTAGATCCATCAAACGTAAAAATATACATAGATATACAATATACAACAGCTCTGAAGGTGTCTAGTTTTCTCTTACAGATGAAATTGTGGCCTTCTGGAAATGTTTTATAGCTGAGTGGTAAACCACTCAATGTAAAAATGAACTGCTATAACTCTCCGAGGTCTTTAACACCCGACCACCACTAAATCTGTCATTGCATTTCTGATGCTGTTAAAGGTGTGTTTGTATCACTAGTGTTTGGCCTACACCTAGCATGCATAATGTATATTGTCAAAGCAGCATTAATTGGGTCTGTAAAGTGCTACAAGATATGTGTCACTAAACTCTGTTTTACTAAACTCTGTTTTACTAAACTCTGTTTTATCTGTGCCTGTCTACACATGTCATGGAGTTATAAAGAGATTTATTAATACCATCTACAGTTACGTAATAGGCAGTACACAGCTTAAGTTCCTCTTTCTGTGTGTAAGGGCTTTCTTTCTCTCTGGCACACAAATACACCCACACACACAAACTTGTGATCAAACTCCTGCATTACTCACTGATTACTGACAGTACCTCGGGACTTCTTTGAGCATTTTTTATTTAAAATTTACGATACTGTCACATCAGTTTCTTGCTGACATAAATGTATGTCCATGTCCTCATTTCTTGGCAACTTTTTTGGCATCTGAAAGCCTGAAAATAAACCAACCATAACCAACCATAAAAAACTAGATAACATGTCAGTCCAATGAAAATAATGCTGTTTTTCTTTGCTACTTTAGTTTCATGACTATTAAAGAGATGTAGTATCTGAGAAGGATCAGGTACAGAAGTTTGACACAAATTAAGATCGGGGGAATAAATGATTTGATTGATGTATTCAACAGATAAATTCAAACTCAAAGCTAGGTTTTGTTTATGCTGTAGGGCAGTGGTTCCCAGCCTAAAAGGTTGGGATCCCAACTAGGGGTTGTCGAAGGTTCACAGGGTTCATCTTGATTTTAAGGAATAAAGACATGAACACAAGCTGTATTCAGAGCCTTCACTCTCTGATAAACAGCCTTGTCCTGCAACAACTGAAGAGCTAATAGAACAATGGTCAAGCATCAAGAAAACACAGAATTTGTCAAAAAAAGAAGCCTATGAAATATGTATATATTTGTAACAATATTTACAGGAAATAATCTGCATTGAATATAATATGAAATATCCATATAATTTGTCCCTAAAGTCAATGATAAAAAAAAGGATTTAGTTGTGTAAGTTACATTATTAGTTTCATGTTGTCAATGTTAATATTATTGTGTGTGAATGTAAAAGCAAAGTGCTTTAAGTGGTTGCAAGACTAGAAAAGGCGCTGTATAAGTGCAGTCCATTCCATTAGTAAATGTTTTGCCACTTAAACCTTAGACCCACAAGCCAGTCTCTAAACACTTCACTCAATAGAGACTGAGGAGTTTCAACTTCAGACAACTTTTGTTCCTAAAACTGGGTGGGAGCAATATGCATAATAGAACCTATCCAAAGTCTTCATAGCGGTGACATGTGCTTTAAACACTGTCGTACTATATAGCATTGCTCAGTACGTGTGTTAGCGGCCGTTCAAGCTCAAACTACTTTGCATTTAGAAAGTGTAAGACTAATTAAAGCTGCATTCACTGAACAAACTCAGTGACACACAGCTTTTGCATTTGAATGAAAAGCCTGCCAAAACTGGCTCACAAGCTCAGACACTTTTATTCTAGAAACAATCAACATGAGGCCCCCTGGTATCTCACCTGGTAGAGCTGGTGCGCCCTGTACCAAGGTCGAGTCCTTTCTGTAGCGTCCACGGGTTCGAGTCCAACCTGTGACCCTTTGCTGCGAGTCATTCCCTCTCTCTCCCCCCCGTTTCCTGTCACTCTACAGCTGTTCCTATCAACTAAAGGCAATGAAAAAAAAAAGAAGCAATCAAGTCTGACCAGAACATGACAAGTTATTTATCAGTGATTCTTCCTCAAACTACATACAATGACGCTTGACTCAGCAGCTTCATGCTCTATTACTCATTTTAAATCAACTTATTCTGGGAAGAACAGCTGCAATGTTTTTTGTTTGATTAGTCTAATAGTTAATGGTCAATCAGTGTGATCAGTTAAGCTATAAGGTGGTAAGTTGATCATTGTTCATTTCTAACTGAGTCTGTATTGTGTCTCTTTCAGAGAGTCCTCAGTAAGGACGGTAACCTCCTCTCTAAGACGTCCTCTGGGATGCAGAGCGGCGGGGAAGAGGAGCAGGACGAGGAGGCTCACACCCCTCTGCCTCCCCCCATGGAGATCATCAAGGACCCCTCAGCTCAGGACGATAAGGTGAGAGAGAGGAAAGGAGGGAGGGAGGGAGGTTTCACTGCACAGGTTTCTCCTGATGAAGTCTGCTTTAGATATATTTTATTTAGATTTTATCTGACCAGTTAATCTGTTTCTCTAAAACCATGTCTGAGTCCACTAACCCCAAGCAGCTTTTGCATTAATATGCTTCGTACTGATAAACTTCAATTTGACCTTGTTGTTATATTCATTCTATTCTATCTGTGTTATTTGATATACATTTTTCATTAATATGTTTCTTTAATAATATTCTCCATTTCCTATTTTCTATTTTAATTTTGTGGGTTTTTTTGTGCATTTCACTTTTATTTTGATTTATTTAATTTAGTTTTTTTCTTTTAAATAATGATTATTTAATTGGATTTAGGTTTATATTAGCTGTAGTTGGTATAAATCCTATACATCAGCTCTGTTGTCCTCTGCTAGCTAACAGCTTTTCTCTCTTTCAGTGCTGTTTTTATTCCTTTTATTTTCTTACCTTTAACTCTTCTTTCTTCCCCCACCAACTGCCTTATCACCTTCACTTCCAATCTTTCTAACATGCTGTCGCTTTTGATCCCCCTCTCCTCTTCCTCACTCAGTCTTCGTCCTTGCTAACGTCTCTGCAGTCGTCCTCTGAGGTGCCCAGCGCTGCAGAGCTGGTTAGCGCCATAGAAAAACTGGTTAAAACAAAGATGGTGAGTGCATATGATTGTGTGCATGTATGGGACGTGCGCACATGCAGTGTAACAGTGTTATATTTTCTTGGCCACAAACTAAAAAACAAATGACGTGCAGAGCAGTCTTCTTCAGAACCAGGCTGAAGTGAACACACCCTGTTTACCTGCTGTCTCCATGTGTGGATCGTTTTGTGCTCATTTCACCAAATTAAAACAATATGGAATATGTGTAGTGTCAACAGTAGTGCATGCACAGTATGTTGTACTTGTGTGTTGTTCCATGTTTGTGTAATACACTTAATGTTCATATTTCCAGTAGTTTTTGGTTAGCCTCATCGTGTCTTGTGTTATTTATATGCATATTTATGCATACAATAGCAATGTAAAGCCCCATTCAGACAAGATTAACATTACAGGAAAAAGTGGTGAATTACATTTGCACTGTGCTAGTCTGTCATTTAAGAGAAAGTCCATCCCAAACAATGAACCACTGTGAAATTACAGGATATGGTCTGTAATGCACACAGGGGAACTGAAGGTGAGGCAAAGTTGCTGCAAAGTTGCTCCTTCTCTGAGTCATAACTCAGTGAAATCTGAATACATAGACATCAAACACACATAGACATCAAACACACATTGACATCATTCAGTGTGACCGACACTTCCCAAGAATACCATTATCTCATGAATAAATGTCCATAAAGAAATAGAAGAATAGAAGTATCAAAGTAATCCAATGACGGTTATCTGTACATCCATGGGCACATTGCCATCAGGAAATGCTAAAAGCTAATTTAATTTGTGCCAATTTGCAAAAATATAGGCAGAAACAAATGTAGGCTAAAATCAGACTAGCAGAAGACTGATTAACTTTTACAGGATCTTGCTCTCCTGATGGCTTTAATTGATTCTTTCATTGTATTGAATCCCAAATAGACCTATATTCTTGTGTTAGCATGGTAGATTACTCCATTTCACACAATAGTCAGTGCTAATTAAAAAAAAGCTCACCCTGCTGGTCAGAGATCCTCTTCAGAATACAAATACATCGCTCTGGCAGTGACTTCACCAAAAAACGGTCTGTAATGAGTAGGGGGCTGTAATCATTACTGTAAAAATAACCCCCATGTGCATTCTGGATGGAATTAAAATCCACAAATTGTAATGAACATTATTTATAATAATTATATACGAGTCTAACCTTTGTGTATGCTTGTTGTCCCTGCTGTAGAAGACCAAGCTCCTGCTGCCCTCTGCTGTCCTGAAATCCTCTCATTATTCTGATGTTGGTCTAAGGATAGAGGGTGTAGAGTGCTGTTCATGTTGTACAGCCCTCTGAGACAAATCTATGATTCTGCTGAATGAAACAGCCTTGATGAAAAGAGAATTTCACTCAAGTAGCTTCTTTTCTCAATCTGTGACAAATAATAACACCAACCTTCTCTTCTCTGTTCAGACTCTGGAGCCAGGAGCGTACCCAGGCTTCTCCTCTCTCTCTCCACCGGAGCAGACCACTCCGGTCCAGCCACGAAACCCTGAACTGGAGCAGAGAGCCAAAGCTATGAGAGGACGAATGTGAGTACATCATTACTGCTTGTGCTGCTGCTTCTACCACTACAGCCATCAGGTTACATTGTGACTAATCACATGATAGCATGATAACATGTCCTCAGCAGCTGTTACTGTTATTCTACTCAGGTTTGTTCTGAACGAGCTGATTCAGACAGAGAAGGACTACGTCAAAGACCTGGGCATCGTGGTGGAGGTGAGACACCCACTGCTGAGGGAACACACAGTCTGTTCTCATCCGTGCCTGATTATCCTGCACCCCACAATCATTCATTAGCAAGCAGTATCCATTATGTGCGGGCCATTTGATCCCATAATTTACTTTCTTTATGGTTCTTTTTAGCTCAGCGTCTTTTAATGCACATGGTACATTTATGACGAGCACAGAATCTGTGACTATAGTAAGGAAGAAAGCAGACAAACACACTGCTTATTGTAGTGCACTAACACTCTGTTGTAGACAGATGTAATTTATTCCTGGGTGGTTTTCATGTTAATTAGTCATCACTGACTGAGGAGATGTGAGCAGAGCAGCTGCTGACCTTTTGTGACCCCTCAGGGTTTCATGAAGAGGATCGAGGAAAAGGGCGTCCCCGATGACATGAAAGGAAAAGACAAAATCGTCTTCGGGAACATCCACCAGATCTACGACTGGCACAGAGAGTACGTTCAGCGATTGGGGGGAGGAGGGTCAGGTGGAGACTGACAGGAGTCTGTACGTGCTAACTAATAACATCCCTCTCCCGTATCTGTCAGATTCTTCGTAGGAGAGCTGGAGAAATGTCTCGAAGACCATGAACACCTTCCCGAGCTCTTCATCAAACATGTGAGTGGAACACTGTGTGATGATGATGTTGATGACTTTAAGTGCATTTGACCTGTTAAAATCCCTACTCTCCTTGTGTGTTACAGGAGAGAAGACTCCACATGTATGTGGTTTATTGTCAGAACAAGCCTAAGTCGGAGTTCATCGTAGCAGAATATGACACATATTTTGATGTAAGTGATGTTTTGACTTTTCCTGTTACTGTTAGTAGTTGTGTTGTTTTCTTTAAACTTTGCACCAAAAAAAACTTAAAATTGTAATGATGTCTCCTCTCTCTGTGGCTCTCTATATCATTTTTATCCTTACTGTAGCTGTATGATTACATTAATGGAAGATTTTAGAGTCTTATATTATCTGCTGTATTTGATACTAAACTGGCCGCATATATAAGAGAAGCATAAATCAGAGAAATGGCTGAAAAAGAAGCTTTCTAATGCTATTGATGTTTGTCTTCCAGGGAATCCAGCAGGACATCCAGTCTAGGTTGAGCATCAGTGACTTCCTCATCAAACCAATCCAGAGAATCACTAAATACCAGCTGTTACTGAAGGTAACACGCACACATTTTTCTATTAAGTTACAAAAGGAAATGTCGGTACGTTTCTTTTATTTTTAATCTGATTAATTAGAGGAAAAAATGATCACTGTTCCTACGCTTCAGTGTTCCTATGTGTCCTGGAAAACCTGGAAATATAGAGAGTAGCTTTTCAGACATTGAAACACCTGGAAATTGATTAGAATGGCAAAATATCCTGGAAATAACCTGTCTATCATCATTATTAATTATCTCTACATCATTAAACAAGGAGTAATCAAACTGCAGTTAAATGTGTCAATAGTAGACCTACCGGTAAATGATATGACTGTTTGTGTGTTTAGTTTGCCTGTGCCCTTTGTGATAGAAGTTGCTATAATAGTACGAGTCTTGTGAACCCAAAATTAAAAAACTGGCCTTGGAAAGGGACACTTATGTTATAAAAATAATACTGATAGCTGATATGAGGGAAATAATTAAAGGGATATCAAACTGAGATCTGTGTTATTTTTTAGGCTCCACAAATAACTATGCTGTAATTCTATGGAACTGAAATGTTGTCATCTCCCATAGAACCTGTTTTAATTGCAAGAGGACAGTGTGCGTCTTTATTAATCCCACACAGCTGTCTGTGGGACATTCAGGGTAACGTGATGTATTGAAACTGCAGTGAACTGTATTTACTGTCTCTTGAGTGTTAATGTTGTGGTCATGGTTCTCCTCAGGACTTCCTGAAGTTCAGCACAAAGGCAGGCATTGACTGCGAACAAATAGAGGTAAAAACACAACGTACAGTGCTGAAATCACAATTTACATGATACATACAGTGTTTGTATACTCAGCCCTGCCTGAATCCAGGACTTTAGTTTTCGGTCTTGAAACCATTCTGTTTAAATAAAGGTGGATATCTGTTGATGCTTCCATTAATTGTGCAGCCTAAGAGAGGGGCACACACACAACAAATGAACTTAAACCCCTCTCTCTGGCTTTTACAGAAAGCAGTAGATTTGATGTCTCAGGTCCCTAAACTGTGTAACGACATGATGAATTTGGGTCGGCTGCAGGGATACGAGGTACGTCAACTTCCTATAGATTCCTGTACGCCCTCCACCTGTTTTATTACTCACTTCTGTTGACCAATCCAATCGCTCTGCAGGGTAAACTGACCTCTCAGGGCAAACTGCTGCAGCAGGAAACCTTCTTTGTAACAGAGCAGGACGCCGGCGTCCTCTCGCGCTCCAAAGAACGGCGAGTTTTCCTCTTTGAGCAGATCGTCATCTTCAGCGAGCTGCTCAGGAAAGGATCGTCCACGCCTGGGTACCAGTTCAAAAAGAGTATCAAGGTACGCAGAGGATGGGCTTTAGGATGGGGGGTTACATTAGGCACACCAAATCCACTTTTTTGACCTCATTTCCTTCCATGCGCCATATATGTCAAATAGAAATGTGAGCTTATGGAGCTTGTAGTGTTGTACATTTATGCACTGCATAAAAGAAAGAAATCTATATATTAAAATCACACCGTAATGGCTATGCCTCCTTCACCCTTCCCCACAGGTGTCCTACCTTGGTCTGGAGGACAGTGTGGACAACGATCCCTGTAAGTTCGTCCTGTCGTGTCGCGGCTCGTCGGAACGTTTTACCCTGCAGGCTGCCAACGTGGACATCAAGCAGGTCTGGGTCCGACACATCCAGGAGGTCTTGGATGCTCAGAGCAACTTCCTGTCTGGTGAGAAAACACACACAACTACAGTATTTTCCTCTTAAGCCTGATGTAACGGACACACCCCAGGTCAGACTGCAGTGTAAAATCCTGTTTCCTATTTTTAGCAAGTCATTTTCATAGCGTGCTGTAAAAGAATGACACAATGGCTGCCATATTTAAATCAGCAACAGCACTGCAGTCCTCACGAACAGGTCCACACTAACCTGAAATAATGTTACTAAAGAAGAATATAAATGTTCCTTCTGTGTGTGATTGTAGCTCTGCAGTCTCCCATTGAGTACCAGAAGGAGAAAGGCGGAGCAGGCAGCAGCTCCTCGCTGACCAGAAACCTCTCGTCCTCGGGGAACAGGCCCGCCTCGTCCTCGCACAGCCGCCCATCCTCAGTGGTCGGCCTCGGCGACAAGGAGACAGAGAGGGGGCGGAGCCAGATGAAAGTGTCTACCTCCAATGGCGGTTCATCATGCTTCGACTCGAGGGTGAGTTCCTGCGGCCTGTGTGATTTTACTGGAGGAAATTTTCGTTTTTCGGTTTTGAGTTTTTCAGGGTTTTGTTTTGAAAAGTGCCGCCTCTACATTTTGCACTAGCATCGTCTTTACTGTAGACTGCAGCCGACAGCTGGTGAACTGGGGCATGAAGTACACTTTCATGCTGTCTGTGAGTCTGTTACCTGTCCCTAAAAGCCAAGGTTAAAATCTGGGCTACTGCAGGTGTAGCAGCATACTGTGTGGGTTTATATATAAACATACACAAGCTGTTCTCTTTCTGGCCTACTTTGACTGAAAACCTGTTGCTGTCTGCAGGGCACCGGACAGCTCTGCTCGCTCTGTAATTTACGGCCTGCAAAGCTCTAAATCGAAGCACCTCCACCCTTGTCAAGGGAGAAATGTTCCTAAGAACAAGAAGGAAATTATAATGACACTCTCTAAAAAAGAACAAAAGACTATTTTATTTATTTATTTACTATGAAGTATCTGTCCTTTTGCTGTTTGTAAACACACCATTCAAAGTTGGCCCCTCCTCCCCAGCTTTGGGCGAGCTACATAGAGCACGAATGGTTCACTCATTCAAAATTCTTTCATTCTAAAGGCACCTCCACACAACCCTGCAGGAGGGTGCCATATTGCTGGATTTTGTGTGAATGCAGACACACACTGACACACAGACCTGCAGCTTGTTATGCATCCATGACACAGACATGGAGCAGGGGAGAGAGGTAGACTGAAACAGCAATGTGACCTGGTCGCTACATTTTTAGAGAGGCCTGAACTGACTGATTTAAAAATGCATCCCTTGTGTTTCTAACCCTGCAGATAGTTTGTTCTTATTTGCTGAAGTTTTATATATATAGATATAGATATGGTCTGCTGAGACCTGTACTTTCCCTGATACAATGGAAACATCCTGATATTTGGTAGAAAATGGTTTCCAATAAAACCAGGTTATGTGCATAAACAGAACAACCAGGACACCGTTTCTGCAGAGAAGTTGCTAAATGAGTTTTATAAATGTGTGATTCACCTCCGTCGTACTGTGGTGGAGGCAGAAATATTTCATCAGCATATATCAAACCCTTTGCTGCAAACTGGAGCGTGACTCACAGGTGGACTACTTTATGAAAGAAACACTGACACTGTCATTGTTTTTCCTCCTCCTCCTCGGCCCTGACCTCCCTCTGCTCCTCTTCAGGTCTGGGTCAGCTGTAATGGCATCACAGCCAGCAGGACTGTTATCCAGCCCACATAGACACACCGTAACCTTGTCCTCAATTGTCCTCATCCTCTCCTCCTCTGTCATTTCCACCTTTTCCTCCTGCTCTCCTCCTCTCTGTTTTCTCCCCTTTTCGCCCATCCTCTCCCCTCCCCCTCAGGACAGCGAAGGCGGCTGCAATGGCGTCTCGTCCACCATGTCGGTCACTCAGGACTACTCGGCGCTCAAAGAGAACGAGATCTGCGTCAGTCAGGGAGAGACCGTCCAAATCCTGGCCACCAATCAGCAGAACATGTACCTCGTTTACCGGCCAGCCAACATCCAGTCACCGGCCGCAGAGGGCTGGGTGCCGGGACACGTCTTAGGCCCACTCACAAAGTCCATAAAAGACTCTTCTTCTACTTCCTCCTTCCCCACGGCGGTGGCCGATGCCAACAACATCAAGTAAGTCCCCCACCCACCCACCCAGCACTTCTTTACCTGCAGACAGACGCACTTCTGGTTGGGCTCGAAACCAAGCACTTGGACGGGATGAGAGAATTGTGGTGACAAAACCCTGTCGATTTTTTTTCATTTTTGTTTGTTTTTTGAATCCCATCCCCAGCTCCCTCACTGCCCTTACCTCCTAACTCCCCCCTCCCCCTCCTCCTCCTCCTCCTCCTCCTCCTCCTCCTCCTCCTCCCTCCCGGTAAGAACGAACTCTTGGACCTCATAGGAGACTTTTTTTTGGTATTTTAACTCCTGACTTTCTTGTGTTGCTCCTTGGAGGTAAAAAGGTACAGAACTGCTCACTTACTGTCCGTCAATCTGCTGCAGTGACAGTTTTATTTCTGAGCCATTGTCACTTGACGGCTCTGTGGCAACTACATGAAAATGGATTTCAGGCTTGAAACCGACCACACACAAACACACACACACACACACACACACAAACACACTGATGGTAATTCCATGTAAACGAGTACTGAGGATTTATCCTGCAGAAATAGACTGGATAGAAAATCTTGTAACTTGTAGCTGACTCTGGAAACCAGAGCAAGAAAAACACTCATGTGGAGCTAAAACCGGACTCTTATTTCAGTTCCTAACACCCTGCTTTCTCTTCTGTTTTTTTGTATATTATTTTTCTTTTTACTGTTTCTGGAAAGAAAAAAAAAAACTTACCTGGGGCATTCAGGTGGACTCGGCCCTGTTCTCCGCAGTGGAGAAGATTTATTTTGTTGTCTGTGGCAATCTATACAGAAATTTTGTGTTCATTCCTCTTGTCATTGTTGGTTTTTCTGCCTTGTTAATTATTATTTTATTTTACGGACAAAGTTGGATTTTTTTCCTCCTTCATGTTGATTTTGTTTATTATGTCAGCAGTTCACTGTACAAAGTCAATTTTGGTTTTTCGACTGAGGCTCTAGAACATTCCTGTTTAAAAAAACAAAAAAAGATCCCTTTTGCACTATTTAAGATAAGAAAAAATATGAATGAAGTCAGGCTGTGCAATATGTTGCGTTTAATGGCAACTTTCAGCATTGTACTGTTGGTAGCCTATTAATAATGATTTTAAATGTATTTTAAATATGTAAAATAAACCTTTTGGACTTGAGCATGAGTTAGCAAAGCGACGTGAAGGTGAAGTTGTTTTGTTTTGCGTTAGGCTGAAGACGATTAACAGTTTGTAGTTTTTAATATTTGTAAATAAACTACAACAGCAAATGTGAAACTGAGCAGTCTGCTTACTTCTTCATCACTACTTCACACCATTAGATATTGCTAATTAAGACGAGACAGGTAGACATTTAGGAGAGATGTGATGAAAGGGGAAGAAAAAAGTGTGAAATCAACTATTTTCTAAGGTTTCATTTTAAAGATTATATTATCTAGAAAGTGAACATCTGAGCAAGGTTTTATTTATTAAGACTTTTTGACTTAAAAGTGTAAAAAAAAAACATAACTGAGGGTTTGTTCAGCCAACATTAGAGCAACAGGTATTAGTCTGCACCTTTTCCCTGTATGGTTAATTTCAGCTTTCTGTATTTGTTGTTACTGTAGTGACATTTCTTTTGACCTTTTTTGTTTCAGTTCTTACTAACCCCAACGGTTTGACACTCCACTGAAGGGACAAACTTAAAACACAAAAAAGGGTTGTGTGAGCAGTGACACTGGAAATCATTGCTCTCAAGTTTATCTACTGACCTGAAGTATTGTCAGCAAAGAAATGGTTAAAATAAAATCACATGGCACTTAGAAAAAGTAGTATTATTATTCATTTTATCCAATATAGACATTATCTTCACTCCTCACATACAACAGTGAATGAGTTTAACATAAATTAACATTAGTTATCAGTCTATCTATTATTGATACTACTCGCCATAATTTGGTGTCAAATAAACAAAGACATGACATGGAAATGATGTTTGCATACTATTTAAATTGTTTCCTGAGTTAGTACATTTAGCTGCATTTTCATTCAGTTTAGTAAAGTGAGTTCACACTTGTGAATGTCATTCCCTGTCAGCTGTTTATATAATGTTACATAAATACAGATAGCAGTATAATTTGTCCAATACCTGTCCCTAGTCTTCAGGTCTGCAGGAAAAACAAAGCGTGTGAGTCTTGAGTCTTGAAAATGTAAACACTTCCAGTGTTGTCTCTGCTTGTGTTAAAGGAAGGTACAGTATGTCACAGTCTCTCTCTCACAGCTCTCTGTTGCTCTGTCCTACAGTCTGACTTTATCTCTGTCTCAATAAAGTCAGTGGTTCTGTCACCCTGCCCTTCCTCTCCTGTACCTTCATGGACCAGAAGGGTCTGGCTGCAGCTTCAGGCAACAGCGACACTGTCAGGACCCTCTGCTACAACACACATAGGGACATAAACATTTAGATTGTACAGACATACCGGCAACCATGATGGAAGCATTAGAAAGAACTATGAAAGCCAGAGGGTGACGCACATCAATCTTGTAATTCTACTTTAATTCAAAACTTAATCCAGGATGTACGAGGGACTATGGTCTCTAAAGTGACACGTGGCAGTTCTCCACCTCTCTATCTGCTCTCTCTGTCACTGTTGGATTTACAATGTACAATTCATTCTTATTTTCATGAAAGCTCATTTCTGCCTCTTAAAAAGAAGAAACCATCTGTTATTTTTTTCATATTTAGGTATTATCTCATATTTGTGAGAGCTTCCAATATTTATCTCAGTTTTGTTTTTTTTTTGTTTGTTTTTTTATAATTCTTTCTCTCATTTGTCATAATTATGAGGAAGTCCAACACTAAGGTGGCAAAAGTGGATTTTTGTAAGGCTAGAACAGCTGCTAACAGGCGCTAGCGAGCAAGAGCTGTAGGCCTGTTTATTATTGTGTTGTCTTAACAGGTGTTTGTTTGAATAGCTAACAGTATAGCATGCTAACGTTTCTGTTATTGTTTTCAGTACATTAAACAGTCCCCACAGTTTTCATGCTAATGTTAGCATGCTAATACTAGATAGATACATAGTGTAATCATTTAAAAAATAAGCGAGCTTTGAGAATGTAGCTGAAAATAACATTTTATGAAGATAATAAACTAATAAAGAGTTTTAAACTGACATTTGGATTTGTCAAAGTAGCTGTAGGCTGCATTTCATTTAACTGCTCCAGTTCCAGTGCTCTGATATCGGGCTCACCAGTAGGACTTATTGGGACATCTAAATGGAACTAAACTTATCATTCTTATCATTATCATCATTATTATTATCATTATTATTATCATCATTATCATCATTATTATCATTATTATTATTATTATCATTATCATCATTATTATTATCATTATTATTATCATTATTATTATCATTATCATTATCATTATCATTATTATTATCATTATCATTATTATTATTATTATTATTATTATTATTATTATTATTATTATTATTATCTTTATCATTATTATCATTATTATCATCATTATCATTATTATTATCATCATGATCATCATTATTATCATCATTATTATTATCATCATCATTATCATTATTATTATTATTATTATTATCATTATCATTATTATTATCATTATTATTATTATCATTATCATTATTATCATCATTATCATCATTATCATTATTATTATCATTATTACATTATTATTATCATTATTATTATTATTATCTATTATTATCATTTTCATTATCATTATCATTATCATTATTACTATTATTATTATTATTATTATTATTTATATCATTATCATTATTATTATCATCATGATCATCATTATTATCATCATTATTATTATCATCATCATTATCATTATTATTATTATTATTATTATTATTTCATTATCATTATTATTATCATTATTATTATTATCATTATCATTATTATCATCATTATCATCATTATCATTATTATTATCATTATTATCATTATCATTATCATCATTATTATTATCATTATTATCATTATTATTATCATTTTCATTATTATTATCATTATTATTATCATTATTATTATCATCATTATCATTATTATTATTATTATTATTATTATTATTAGCATTATTACCATTATTATCATTATTATTATTATTATTATTATCATCATTATCATTATTATTATCATTATTATTATTATTATTATTATTATTATTATTATTATTATTATTATTATTATCATTATCATTATCACAGGAAGAGATGAGAGGTTGGACAGAATGAATCCATAAAACGCTTTCTCATGAAACATGACATTTTTTAGGCATATCTCTGATCCCTTGAGAGGGTTCTGAGACAGTAATGACCTGACAGCCATGTTGCCTCTGCAGCCAGACTGAGCTGGACACCACTGAGCTTCTCTCTGATTGGCTGGTTGATGTTTCTCGTTCCTGTACCGTACAGGAAGTCTCTGTCATGGAATACACTGCGTGCCAGGAAGCGCGCTGAAGCCAAGGACGTCTCCTCGTTGGGGGTTAGAGGCCAGGAGAATGGCCTCCTCCGTAAGCCCAAAGAAACCACACCCCCTCCCACGCTCGCCTCCCCCGCCACCAGGGCGAAGGGCAAAGTGAGTAAAGCAGGCCGACGGCGCACGCTGGTGATGTCATATATGTGTGCCAAAAACCCCTCACCTGCCCTCCCTGGTTTTTTATTTTTCTTCTTAACCCGTGTGTGTGCGCGCGCATGTGTGTGCAAACCTACACACACACACACACACACACACACACAGTAGTTGCTGTGTCTCTTTGGACTCCAGCAGTGGTTCTCAACCTGAATCACACATACATTATTATTGACAGTTCTGGGTTCAGTGTATTTTGTATTTATAGATCAGATAATTGGCCAACCAAACCATAGCTTAAGTTTTTGGCATAAAAAAAGATGGGTAGAAATTAGTCTACAGCTCAAAATGAAACTTCCCAAATGAACTCTGTACCAAGGCTGTTTGTGGATTCACTTACCTGTGAGTAAATCCACGATCACAATTGTAATAAATTGATTTGTATGAACAGGTTTAAGATGGCTGCGGGCGAGGGCTAAAACGAAATATGGAACTGAATGTAGATCAAATTATAGAAAAATATTAGATGGTTGAGAACCACTAAAGAAGAACACTGCAAGTTTTATTTGACTCTTTTTGTTTTACCCCAGACCCTCAAATGCACTGACTGGAAAATAAAGTCTGATTTCGTTTTGTGTTTTTGCGTTGTGATTTATTTCTCCCTCCTTCTGCATGGCTAGAGGTAGGATTCAGTGACTTATTCATTTCAGTGTTGGATTTGTTTCCCCTCTGCTGTGTTAACCAGTGTTTTCTATAGTGGTCTAACACAATGGAACTCACCAAAACAGTGTTTTGTGTATATAACATATGATAGTTTGATGTGATTGTGTGATAGTTTCCAAATTAAAACACAGTAGATCTAACTTTGTTCTTCGTCTGCACCATGTGAAGAAAAACCGATTTCCCACTTTAAGTTCCCACTATGAATGAAAGCTACATGAATCTAAGTGCACCTTTGTTTATCTGGACGATTCCTTTTTACCTCCTCCTCTTATGAATGTGTTAAAAACAGGAATTACTTCTGCTTAGCAACTTTTCAGCCTGAAAGGGTTTCTACATGAATAACAGTGAATATTTTTTAGTAAGGCATGCTGAGCTATGAATGTCAAACACAGGGACAGGCTCAACATACGGAAGCCCAGAAAGGCAAGTGAGAAAAAGTTAATAAATTTTCTGTCTGACCTAAAGTCGGACTACATTTTTTTTTCTCTTCTGTGTTTGTGACTTCAACGGTTGAAAATGGATAACCTTTTTAAGTTCCTTACGTTTTTTTGTTGTTTCTTTTGGTCTGGGGACAAAAAAGATATTTTTTTTCTAAGTTAACGTTAACACTTCTAAGCATTTCAGCCACAAGGGGCAAAAGTACGCCACTACCCCATGTGCTACGTAGGAACAAAAAGCATTTGTGTTTTCTTCTAGGTGAGATTTAATGTCTCTTTGCATAAAACGACATGACATAAATGTCACATAACATGCTAACACACAATATACAGTATGTTGTCTTTAGATTGCATGGAGAGAAAAAACATTGACCTGCCAAAACTTTGTTCTAAAAAACAGTAATTTTGAAAACTTTACCTGGCAAAACTCTTTATTTCCCCCATAAATAAATAAAAAACATGAAAGGCCTTTGAAAGATTATTATGGCAAAACCTTTTTTTCTCCTGTTCTTAAGTCATAAACACAGGAGAGGAAAGTATTGAATTCAGACTTAGGAAATGGGTCACCAAGATTTTTCTTTCTTACTTGCCTCTGGGGTCTTCCATATTTTGTCATCTAAAGAAAACCCTGTTAACTTTTTTCATTTAAAATAGTCTTTTAAGGTCCAAACTCCTCTGGAAATTCTTCAGTGACTGTTTTTCTAGATATGAATTTGGGAATTTGTTGGAGCCAGCATTTAGCAGCCATTAGGGCAATTATCGTTTAAAAAAAGAAAGGAAAATAGAGAGGATAAGGAACGGCTCTCAGGTGAGTATCAGCCAAACTTCTTCAGTTCCTGGAATAAAGTTGTAGGTCAGAAACCCTCCACAGTGGACAAGATTTGTGTTTTTCCTGTTTTCCTCTCTTTACCCACAGAGAAATAAACACACATACTCCTAATATTCTCTTCACTCCTGTCACTTCCTTTTTCCACTTCTCTTATTTACTCTTTCTCTAAAATTTTCCTCCATCTTTGACATGATTATTCTTTTTTTATTTTCTCCCTCTCATTCCTGTCCTCTTGTTCGCTCCCTGCTCTATTCTCCTTGTCTGCCTCTCTCCATTGGCGCTCTAACCATTTCATCCATTTTCCTCTCCCATTATTCTCTTGCTCTTCTCTTTCTTTGTTCCCAATTTGCACTGTCTTCTTTCCTTCCTTTTTGCTCCTCTCCTACCACCCTTTAAACTCCACACCTCACTCTCTTTCCTCCCATTCTTGTGCTTTTCTGTTGTCTCCCTCCTTCATTCTCCACCAGGAGGTTCACACTTCAGATGAGTCAGACTGTGATGATGACCTTGACCCAAAGACAGGCATGGAGGTACGCACACACACTGACTAGGACTAGATTTTGGAAACATGTTACATGGAGTTCATGTATCAGCATTACAAAACCAGATTCTTTTGTCTTTAAAGTAACTGGGAAATGGCAGAGAGTTCAACAAATGTAGAATGTGTGTGTGGACAGGAAGTGTATTACATGCTGAAAACTAAACCTCACCAAAACTTTCACTGTGACCTCGTCTGTTTTGCAGCTTCTCAACCCAAACTTCATCCAGGAAGGTAAGAGACACATGAAGTAATCCGAGTCAGTTCATCATCCAGTACATTAGTTTTGGTTTCAGCTGAGTGCAGTTTCTGTATGTTTCTTGGTGTTGAATATTCATATACTTGACCAGGAGGTGTGGAAGTTTAAAGCATTCTCAAAAAGCTAAACACAGAGGCTCCTGAACACATCTCTTGATCTGCAGAGCATGATGTTGTTAAACTTCCTATTCCTACACTAGACATTTTTGGTAGCTACAGCATGCCACAGTTGACAGTAGGATGGTTTGAAGCTGCAGCAGGTAACCTTTATAAAAAAGACTTTTTGTCATATTTGCTAAGATTTTAACAATATCCTGACAGTAGTACATGAGACAGATAATCGGTCAGGTCTCTGGCTCTTTCTAGTGCTAATGTCGTTTGCCAGAATCCACCAGGCCTGAACAAAAACAACCAATCAGAGCCGAGAAAGAGAGCTGAATGCTAAGTCTCATTCCCAGTTCTTCAAATATTGCCACTGGGAGAGAGACTTAAATAGTCATAATAATCAACTTTCTAAAAACCTTCAACCCAAAGTGTCTTTCTGCCTTTCTCAGCTCTGATTGGTTTTTCTCGTCAAGGCCCAGTGGATTCTTACAAATACCATTAGGAGCACTAGGAGGAGCCAGAGGAACCAGATTTTTTCAGAGTTTATCTGTCTCATGTACTATTATCTGAAAGACCTGAACATAAGCTGTATTCACAGTCTCTGATAAACAAAGAGCTAATAGAACAATGATAAGAAAACATTGAATCTGTCAAAAAAGAAACCTATTAAATATGTAGAATTGTTTAAAAATAAAGAAAATACAACATACAACAACTGTATAAAAAGTGCCTAAAAATAACAAAAACAAATCTCTGATTGATTTCTACAAGATATAATCTGCTTAAAAATTCAGCTAAATTACTAATTTTACTCAGTTATTGTGCTCACTGTTCTGTTGTTTAGTCAGGGGTCATCAGCTTACTAAATGATAGAAAACATTTTTAAATGATAAAATCCCACTGTGGACTAGTGGGTTACATTTGGTTGGCAGCATCCCTGCTTGATTAATTATGCCAGACTGCTGATGAAACATTACGCATTACACTGGTCCCATAGCTGAGCTGCTAACTGGGCCCAAGTCCACATCCTCAATGAATAAGCAAGTCTGGCAGTCATATAAACCGAAGCGGGATGGCATCTGATCCATCTAGTGCCAGAACACAGCCGACTGTGCCAACACTGTGCCAGAATGAGGCCTGACTTCACAGGATGTGTTATGCCTAAATATCTCTACAAATATAAGGTTATAGAAAAATATTGTGGACAAATTAAAACAGATGTCTGCTGGTGTGATATAATGGGAATAATGGGAATCGTGTTCACAGACCAGAGTCTTAAGTACAAATTTTCCACATTTCAAGTGCTTAATACACACAGTGTATTCAGTGCATTAAGGTACATAGATTACATTTTAACTCAACATTGCAGTAAGAGCTGAAGAGCCAGTATTGAGTGATGTGTTTCCTGTGTGCAGTGGCCCCAGAGTTCCTCGTCCCTCTGTCAGATGTGGTGTGTGCGTTCGGGGAGACTGTGGTCCTCTGCTGTAAAGTGTGTGGGCGACCTAAACCTTCCGTTACCCTGAAGGGCCCCGACCAGAACCCGGTGACCAGCAACAGCCGCTTCACCATAGACATCAGGTAACCAAGTGCATGTGTGTGTGAGTGTGTGTAGCTTCCTTTGTCTTGACTGTAAACGCTCTAATTCCACTGGGTTCAGTTTAGTTGCTATCTCTCTTTTTTTCCTTCATCCCTAATTCTATTCCTCTGTCCTACCTTTCTCCCCCTCTTCCTCCTCTCCAGGGACACAGGGGACATCTTGTTGAAGATCTGTAATCTGATGCCTCAGGATACTGGGATCTACACCTGCGTTGCCGTTAACGACCACGGCTCTGCCTCCTCCTCCGCCTCCATCAAAGTGCAAGGTAACACGCCTCGATTAAAAAGAGCCTTTCACCCTTATAAAGCAGCAACCCTGGTCAGCAGTTAGACAGTTGATAAGCTGTAATTGTACAGCGAGATTTTCTTTGATTTGAAACCTTGTGTAACTGTGAGCTGTCCAACAACAGTCTAAACAGCAGCTGCAGTGGTTTGCTGACTGTGCGTTTTTCTGTTTCCTGTAGGCATCCCAGCAGCCCCTGGGAGACCGGTGGCCCAGGAGGCCAGTAGCACGTCGGTGATGGTCCACTGGCCACCTCCGGCTTCATCCGCTCACTGTGCAGTCAGCAGCTACACTGTGGAGTACAGACAGGAAGGTGTGTGTGTGTGTGTGTGTGTGTGTGTGTGTGTGTGTGTGTGTGTGTGTGTGTGTGTGTGTGTGTGTGTGTGTGTGTGTGTGTGTGTGTGTGTGTGTGTGTGTGTGTGTGTGTGTGTGTGTGTGTTTTTTTTTTTTTAAACGAGCAATGGAACATGCACAGAGACTAACTCCTCACCCTCACATCCCCCCCAGACTCGTTGCTATGGCAGCAGGTGGCGAGCAGCAGAGAGGAGTGTGTTCAGATCGACACTCTGATCCCTGGAGGTCACTATCAGTTCAGAGTGCGAGCCTCCAACCGCTGGGGGGTCGGCCCGCCATCCGAGCCCTCAAATATGGTCACACTACCCAGCAGCAGTAAGTCACACACACACACACACACACACACACACACACACACACACACACACACACACACACACACACAGAGAGAGAGAGAGGAAACAGCTTCAAAGGAGTAGTTTTTTGCTTTCTTTGTGAGAGTGAGATGAGAAGATTGAAATGAATCTCTCTGCGTTAAGGACGTGACCCAAACGTGAACAGAAATGTAAAAATAAAAAGTTTTGACATTAGAGAGAGTTAAAGAGTTTAACAGAGCCAGGCTAGCTGTTTCTCACAGTTCTTTAGTTTTTAGGCTAAGCTAAGCTAATTGCATCCTGACTCCTGGGACCTTATTACAGAAACTTCCTTAGTCTGAAATCCTGTCCTATCATCCTTCCTAGGATGAAATTTAGGATGTTTGGTATTACAGAACCATGTTTCTGCATTTAGGAATCCTACATTAAGATGGCATAAATGTAAAATAACCAAAACAGCTGGACCACTGTTGTTAGTTCTGTACAGCAATGACAATGAAGATGGGGCTATTCAAACCATATGGTGGCACTTTAAATTTCCCAGAGCATGTATTTAGCTATATATCAACTGCCAATGCATTTTGAATTTGATCAACGTGCTACATCCTCTAAAATCTTTATCCTGGGCAAATAACTGGGAAGAAAACTTCCCAAAAAAGTGGGGGTTCCCCTCCTCCACAACCCAATTAATTCCTCCAACAAATCTCTAAAATTTGAGCTATAATGGACTGGCTGTCTTTTCTAGTCCATTATAGCTAACTGTAGCTGGCCAGTGACAAGAGAAGTGAGACAGGCTGAATTAATTTTTAAAGTTCCAGTCTGGATTTCTTATGTTAAGGTACGAGGTCTGAGATAGGATAGGACACAGCCATGAGTTTAGGAATGATATATGCATCAAAACAGCATACAGTAAAGCCATGTCCATAGGTAGATGAATGTAAACGTGCTCTGATTCAGAACAATTGACACACAAAGGATAGAGGACAGGGTGGCACAAGAGAAATTCTAATGTACTAATCCTTCTTCCTTATGTTCTGTGCAGTATCTGGGTATGATGGGACAGGGATCCAGTGGAAAGAAAACTTTGAATCCACCTTCTCAGAGATCTGTGAGATTGGAAGGTAAACTGCCCTTAAAAAGCCAAACTTTAATATTCAGCTCCAGATGTTGATAGTTTGGTCTTTTAATCTGGCCTCTCTTGTCTTTGTTGCTCCCTGTCTCCACCAGGGGGCGATTTTCAGTGGTGAGAAAATGTCTCAACAAGTCAACAAAGAAAGAGGTAGGCCGTCCCTGACAGTCTGCCCTGTATAGACTGAGCTGATGCTGTTGCAAATTGTGTTTTGCGTTTCACTGTCCAGTCTATTGCTGTGTTCTTCTTTGCAGTGATGTTCATATTCAAGATTGCAATGAAAAAGTTTCATTTCTACATATTTTAGGTTCTAATCACATTTTGGGTTCAAATTTAGCCTGCAGTTTGACATGTTTTGTGTTTTCAGATGTACTTTTATTCGAAATTTCACTGAGGTTTATTTTGTCAAGTATTATTGTTAATTTTCAGTGTATTTGGACACGTATTTAAGTTACCTTTTCTATATACATTGTCCATTTGAGGTATGTTTCAGGTTGAAGTGGTGGATTTATTTCTTCCAAACAGCAGCATATCTGTATTTTCACTTTGAAGTTAGTTTTGCATGTGTCGGTTTACAATGAATGTTACTGTCTCTCAGCTGTTCCATGCACTTTATTTTTTTCTGTGCAGGTTGCAGTTAAGTTTGTGAGCAAGAAGATGCAGAAGAAGGAGCAGGTGGCTCACGAGGCGGACGTCCTCCTGCACGTACAGAATCACCAGCTGGTGGCGCTGTTGGACACATATGAGTCTCCCACCTCTCTGATGCTGATCCTGGAGCTGTGAGTCTGACTCACTGTCACTGAAACATAGTTATTGTCTTGTAGCCCAAGTCTCTGCTCAAGAACACACTTGTCAGGGTTCTACTGTTAGATATTAGGCATTATATATTTTGAAGTATATGAATTTTAGGTTATTTTTACTACAAGTAGTTTTTAACTGGTTCATGTCCGCGACCGGGTCAGATTTGGTCAGTTTGAAGTCTCTTGAAATCAATGAAACGAGGCAGTACAAACATTACTGTTTTTTAGGGGGGTTTTTTGTATATATTTTTTATTGCCAGGAAAGGGGGGCAGAGAGAGGGGATGACACGCAGCAGAGGGCCACAGGTCGGATTCTAACCCTGGGCCGCTTCAGCAAGGACTGAGCCTACATGGGGCGCCAGCTCTACCCACTGAGCCAACCGGGCGCCCCCAACATTACTGTTTTTGTCCACAGGGGCCGCCAGAATCAACACAAAATGTTCCTTGTAGGGGCTTTAAGAAAAAATTCTAAAAGAGTGAAAGTTCTCTTGGAAACAAACAACATAAACATGACATTGTAAACTGTATCTAAGTGTTATTTAATGTGTGTGTTTCAGGCTGGAGGATGGTCGTTTGCTCGATTACCTCGTCGCCCACGATGAGCTGATGGAGGAGAAGGTGGCGTTTTTTATCAGAGAAACACTAGAGGCCCTGCAGCACCTTCACACCTGCAGGGTGGCACACTTGGATCTGAAGGTGAGAACCATTGCATTTATACATATGAACAGAATGCTCTTTATGACCAGATAAAACCACTGGCTCCCATCTGTTTCTGAATTCTGTTTCTCTCCCCTCAGCCTGAGAACATCATGGTCGACCTCCGCTCTGCTACCCCGTGCATTAAGCTCATCGACCTCGGCGATGCCGTCCAGCTGTCTGCTCATCGCCGCTATGTCCACCTCTTGCTTGGAAACCCAGAGTTTGCTGCACCCGAGCTCATCCGTGGTACGCCAGTCTCTGTCGCGACAGACGTGTGGAGCGTGGGCGTGCTGGCCTACGTGATGCTCAGTGGCGTTTCCCCATTTCTGGATGAATCGCCAGAGGAAACCTGCGTCAACATCTGCCGCCTGGACTTCTGCTTCCCGGACGAATACTTCCGTGACGTGAGCCAGGCGGCGAGGGATTTCGTGTCCTCGGTGCTGCAGCAGGATCCCAGGAAGAGGCCAAGCGCTACTTCCTGTCTGCAGCACCCCTGGGTGGGTCGTGGGGGTGCCCATGGTGGGGAATACTCCAAGACGCCTCTGGACACGACCCGGCTGGCCACATTCATAGACCGCAGAAGACAGCTACATGACGTCAGGCCCATCACTAATATCAAAGGGCTGGTGAGCAGCAGCATGGGCAACACACTGTGAACGAGAGGAGCTCTCACTCAATAACAACCCCTCTGTGACCACCAGGGAACCCACAATAACTCTACAGTATATCTGAAGCATTTAATTATCTTTAGTATTTATTAATGTGTGAGTGGGACAGGGAGTCGGTGCCTGGATCCTTCTTGTGGTGCGATATTTCATCTTCTTGACCACTACAGTAGGGCCCTCTGGAGCAAACTGATAAGCAGAAAAAATCTGTGAAATTTACAGCTGTACAATATTTAATTGCTGACTAACACTTCATCCGATCTTCATTCACCTGGTATCAATACAAAGTGGATCCTATAAACTGCCCAGACACCCCGTAAAGAACCCAAAGAAATTAGCCCAAATGTGCAAAGAATGAGCGTTCAGAAAACTCACTGTGAGCAGGCATGATGGCGAGATATTGGTTTATATTTGTACTGTTTATTTTTCCAGGGACAGATGATATATTGGAGGCAAGCGCCGTTATGTTGAGCTACTCTTGTCTTATTTACTTGGCTCTGCAGAAGAACACTGGGGGGCAGCACGGAGTCCTGCAGGGATCGACCTCGCTAGCTATCTGTCCAGCAGAGTCACACTCACTGAGGAGCATTTTACCAGCCACGCTCAGCTAACAGGTTTAGCCCCACATGTGATATTCTGCCTGAAATCATCCCGTTGGTCAGCAAAAATGGTAATGTTTCTGATGTATTTGTAGTCATCTAGTCTGATTTGAATTAGTATCATGAGAAACTCTCATGGAGGATTAAAGAGTCTGAACAGCTTTCAGAGAGAATATGACTGATCCCAGCTGATAGATGTGCTAGAGGAGTTAGAAACGTGCAGCTTTTTAATGCTGGCTTAGTTGCTGTTCTTATCCCCAGGCTCTTCTAGTGTTTTTCCATCCATTAGCAGATTCTTGGAACCTTGGTGCTCTGAAGCGAACAAGCCTACGTTTAAACCAGTTTTGAGCAGAAACCATTGTAATCAACAGAGGGCGCTGCACAATGCTCAACCACCTGTAGAATATGGCACGCCTACTTTGGTTCCGAAGGAAAACCTGCTATTCTTTTGGTTCCAGCTGGGAACAAACCTTTCTGGGTTCGGAACCAAATCATTTTTGGTCCAAATGTTCAAAACTAGGTCCCTGAATCAGAACGGAGTCGGCTCCCAAAAAGACCTGTTAGTGAGCCGAGCCAGGGTCAGTGACCTATCCAAGAACACTCTGACAGCATACCTGAAGCCTGCCGCACACACAGTAGCTTCAGTGAGAAAGAAGACTGATAACTAGGATGAGGAACTGAGTGATCAAGAATGTTGTAGAAAGAACTTATGAATGAAACGCGAGGTGTAACAGGGTCCGTCTCTCACTCAATAGTACGGATATTTGTGTGCTGAAGCATCCCCACAAACTGAAAACGCCATAAATTCATCTCGCTCGTTCAAACTTTGACTGTCGTTAGTTGGATTGTCTGCACACAGGAAATGGTCAGTTCAAAAAAGTGTCTGCTAAACGGCAGCAGGCAAGTAACCTGGACTGGACTGGACCGGACCGCTCATGTCACCACAGAGGATTTCTGGATCATTGGATCCAATAAAAAAACAGTTCAACAATGGGATGGGATGGGATGCAACAGGAGTTTTGCTGTGATATACCTTTAATTTATTGAATGTTTATTTATTTCAGAACTGAGGCTGAGAGTGAAATCACACTTGCAATGGTGACCTGCACCAGGTGGAGCTGACATAAGAAAACTGAATAAAACTGAGCTGAACTGAGCTGAACTTAGTAGAACAGTCCTGGATAAACAGTGTTGTAGTGAGCTGCTGGAGATTCCTTCAAATCACTGACAGATCTATACTGAACTGTGCTGGACTGTGCTTGGAGCAAACAGAGGACTACTGGACCTTACACAGGATTCACTGAGACAGAAAAGGCACCATTGAGACTGAAATCCTTTCTCTTTAGGACAACTATCATTTCTTCGTATCACTGTTTACAAATACTTTGTCCAGAAAAATGCTTAGGTAGTTTACAAAAATGTAGAATAATCAGGGAAAACCTGCATGTAATTTCACCAGGGATGATTTAGAAATCTGTGTTTCTAGAGCAAAAACCTGTGACCTTTGGTGTTAAGGTGGATCATGAATTCCACCCTTGTACATTTGTCCACCAGCCACTGTGGCAAGTAACCAACTATAGTGTTTGGGTCCCATTCATTTGGCTTGTAAAATAGTTTTTGTGGCTGCTGAATCGGTGTTGGATTTAGACAGAGAGTCTAGAGTCCATTTAGGGTCCTGTTTGTACTGATGAATGTAATTTCTCGTAGAATGTGTTCTGCCATCACAAGTGCTGTGCAAGTACTGCTTTCACCAAATGCTTTCGCTTTCACACCGCTCCCCTCTGACTGTTTTGCAAGCATTTAGCGTTCTACAATAGTAAGCATTTATTTTCATGCAGCCAGGGATGCAGAAAAGTGCAAATGTATGCAACCCGCTGTTCTGTAGAAGCAACTTTCACCTTTGAGGTCTAGTACAACAACATCCATGCAAATGTGCAAGTGTATTAGTTTGTGTTTATCAGTGCAGCTGTTATAAAATCTATTCAGGTACCAGAGGAACAGCAGTCTGCTGTTTCACCTCAGTTTCATCTTCTCAGCAGGGACTTTGGATCAGTAACGTTGGAAGTTTCAGCTTTCCTAAAAGGAAAATTCAACCGACCGACCCCCCAGGATGCAGTTCTAGGCAGGAAACACACAATTTCTATATCCTGAGGGGTCTGAGATACAGTTATCTCATCAGCATGGCAGCACACTCTGTAAACATTACACAGCATTACTTGTAACACGTTTTAGTCTCCTCCTAATACACAGAACAGCGTTGTGTTAAATGGTTAAAAATAAATATGAAAAGTGTGTACAGTTAACTGCTAACTCAACTGAATGGTTCTGACAACATCAGTGCTGAAACAATCAATCCATTCATACATCGATAGTGTAATCAATATTGAAAATGTGTATTAGGTATAGTTATTAGTAAACAAATAATCACATTAATAAACACAGACAAATTATGTAATTTAGGATTGTTACTGGAGCACAGAGCAAAAAGGGGCGGGACTTAGGAAGAGTCATTTGAAGGTATTCCTGAATGCCTGAAGTAAGCAAATGTATGTTGCTCAAAAAGAAAAAAATAAATAATGAAGATGAAAGATATTTAGGGCCAAACATAAAGCTCTGTTGCAGTCTGTGGTCCCTAACAGGTTACAGGTCAGTTTGAGCAGTGGACCACATGGAAACTCTACAGCTTTGTCCCCACAGGGCACGGGTACTTTTCTCTTTGTTTAAATTTCACCTGAAAAATTCAAATCTGTGCTCTGCATTGTATGTTAGCCTAGCACTCAGGGTCTCCATGAGCTATAGACTATAACCCAGCCTTCAAAATGCATATTACAGCAATTCACCTGAATAAGCTGTACTGAGGTCTGTATTTCTGTCTTGTTAAAATTGCTAATAGTTTCCTGTAAAGACAACAATTCATCTGCAACCTCTGGAGGGAGATCTTTTTAAATACTGTTTTCCTGCTTTTTCATGACTGAAATAAATGTTTCCCAGTCTGCCCATCAGGATTTAAAGTGACAATGAAAATACTAAAATATGATAACGCACTAGTAGTGTACAGTATGTACAGTATATATTTCTGTCTAAAACCAGAACAGCTTCGCCCTCTGATTGCTTCAGTCATTCTCTTAACCCCGGTCTGACCTGCACAGCAGCAGAGGCTTGGTTTTAACTCTCTGAAGAGCTGATCTGTTGGCTGTCTAAACCACATGACATAATGAGGGAATCTGCTACTGAATCAAAACACCAGTTATGCCATTGTCCAAGCAACCAGTGCTTCTGCTGGCCCTAGAAAGTTTGAGGCATCACTCTTTAACCTTTGGCCCTCCGGTATTCACATGCTTCCTCTGTCTTATCCCAGGTGTACAACTGCAACCTATACGCTTACCTTTGGGCTTGGCTCCTGACTCTGAGAAAAACATATGGACAGATAGAATTACATATGGATGTATGCTTCAAAAACTGATCACTACAACCAGTTTAGCATTTTGGCTGAGATGACTGAGTCTTCAGTCATTAATGCCAGTGGTGGAAGAAGTTCTCATATACTCATAATGCAGAGCAGCCCAATTCAGAATCATATTAGATTATAGTTACTGATGCAGTAATATGAGGTAAGTTGTGACATAGTGAACATTTAACCCAAATGACTGATGAGTTTCCCCTCTGACACTCTCCTTATAATACATCCCTGATCGCTGCACACAGGTCTGATGGAAGCTTCCTCACACTGATACATGGAACAACTCCAGCTCCTAATAATCGCACAGTAGTGAATGGAAACAAGCATTCATTCGCATTTTATTTTGCCAATTTACATTTGGTTGGAAACTTGCAGAATATATGAGAATGTTGCAGCTGGTAAAGTGGAGCTAATTTGAAATACTTTATATACTGCTGGGTGTCTTCTGAATCTTCCCTGGGATTGATAAGTCTTATCTTATCAGACCTATAACAAAAAATAACGTATAATATTGATTATATTTTGTATTAATGTGAATCTAAGTAAAAAGTACAATATTTCCGTCTGAATTGTTGTGCACTAGGAGTGTATTTAGTACCTCAAAACTGTACCTACTTAAGTAAAGGTACTTAGTTACTTTCCACCACTGGTAAATGCGTACATCTCTTCAAGCCACAGTACAACATGATCACTGCTGCGGTCACGTGTCCCTGCCGTCCTCTGTCGTAGACACAACCACAGATCTTCTCCTCCAAAGGGTTCAACTCCAGGCCGCCTGTCCCAGTGTCCATTCAGTCCCAATCCCACAATGCATCTGTCATGGCTTGGTGAGCCACGTAGCACCGTGGTGGCTCCACCCTGTTGAATGCTAGTCTGTGCTGTGTCCTGCTAGTGTCCATGCTGAGCTTTGTCCAAACATTATGCTGATGGCTTCATGTTGCTGTGTGAAGCAGCACACGTCTGTATAGGCTGCCTCTTCTTACTCCATACAACCTGCTGGTTTGTTACTCTTTACTAATAAACAACCTGCTTGTTTGTATTTTCTCCTCTCTCTGTCTCATTCTCTCTGTTTCAGAAAGGGTTTTTATATGCGTTTCAAACATTTCAGACTAAACGTCAAAAGATTCGACAATGATAACACTGGATGTACTACCATCATCATCTTTTGCTTATTTATTCATTCATTCATAATCAACCTTATGAATTATACCACAGACAGATTCTCGGGTTAATCTTTATGTAACTTTTAGCCAATTTACTGCGTTCAGTCAGATTATAGAAAAGCTAAATACATTCACATGTCCTGAACATTTTTGAGCTCGGACTAAGCCTCTAGTTTAAAGTTGTTTTAAGAGGCTTGAGT